AAATGAGATAAAACAGAGAGGGAGGCAAACGATAAGACTCTTAAATACAGAGAACGAACTGAGGGTTGTAGGAAGGGAGGTGGGTGTGGGGATAGGTACGTGGGTGATGGGCATTAAGGAGGGCACTTGTTGGAATAAGCACGGGGTATTATATATAACCGATGAATCATTAAATTATACTCTTGAAATCATTATTACACTATATGTTAACTTGGAGGTATCACAATTCCAGATTCAAGTTATATTACACAGCTGTAGTAATCAAAACAGTATGGTACTGGCACAAAAAGAGACATATAAATTAGTGGAACAGAACAGAAAACCCAGAAATAAACCCACAAATATATGATCAATTAATCTTCAACAAAGCAGGAAAGAATATACAATGGGAAAAAATTTCTTCAACAAATGGTACTGGGAAAACTGGTCAGTTACAGGCAAAACAATGAAACTGGACCACTTTCTTACAGCACACACAAAAATAAATTCAAAATGGATTAAAGACCTAAATATGAAACCTGATACCATAAAAATCCTGGGAGAGAGCACAGGCAGTAATTTCTCTGATATTGGCCATAGCAACAGTATTCTACATATGCCTCCTGAAGCAAGGGAAATAAAAGCAAAAATAGACTATTGGGGCTACATCAAAATAAAAAACTCCTGCACAACAGAGGAAACAATCAACAAAAGTAAAAGGCAACCTACAGAATGTGAGAATATATTTGCAAATAACATATCTGATAAAGGGTTAGTATCCAAAAATACTAAGAACTGATACAACTCAAAACCCAAAAAACAAATAATCAAATTAAAAAATGGGCAGAAGACATGAACAGGCACTTCTCCAAGAAGACATCCCGAGGGCCAACAGACACATGAAAAGATGCTAAATATCACTTATCATCAGGGAAATGCAAATCAAAACTATAATGAGATACCACCTCACACCTATCATAATAACTAAAATCAAAAACACAAGAAACAAGTATTGACAAGGATATGGAAAAAAAGGAACCTTCTTTGCACTGTTGGTGGGAATGCAAACTGGTACAGATGCTGCAGAAAATAGTATGCAATTTCCTCAAAAAGTTAAAAATAGAACTACTCTACAATCCAGTAATCATACTACTGGATATCTACCCAAAAAATACAAAAACACTAATTCAAACGGATACCAGCACTGCTACGTTTATAGCAGCATTATTTACAATAGCTAAGATATGGAAGCAGCCCAAGTATTCATCGATAGATAAACAGATAAAGATGTGGTGTATATACATGTAAACATACAGATAATGGAATATTATGTAGCCGTAAAAAAGAATGAAATCTTGCCATTTGCAATAACTTGAATGAAGCTAAGTGAAATAAGTCAACCAGAGAAAGACAAATGCCTTATGATTTCACTCATGTGGAATTTAAGAAACAAATGAGCAAAGGAAAAAAAGAAAGACAGAAAGAAACAAACCAAGAACAGATTCCTAACTACAGAGAATAAACTGATGGTTACCAGAGGGGAGGTGGAGGGGAGAATGGGTGAAATAGGTCATGGACATTTAAGGAAAAAGAAAAAAAAAAAAAAAGATTATGATTTACACTTTATGGACTCTCTTGGGTGGCATATTTGACAACTTAAAAAAAAATGAGCTAGATCTATATGTGTTGTTATAAAAAGATCTACAATAAATATTAAGTGAAAAACAAAACAGCCTATGTAGCATGACTCCTTTCCTATAAAAGATTTTATTTATGGCATATTCATAAAAAAATTTTTGGGAATATAGAAAAAATTATTACCTTTTATTAAATGTACACTGAGGTATAAATCTTCACTAGTTTTCTATACTATTATGTTTTCAAATAGTTTTGAACTGTTTTTATTTGTTTATATCTATTTTAACATATCTGTGTGTGTTTATGTGTATAGTTATTTTATTTTTGTTAATATTAAAACAGGTTATACAAGTGGTAGAAATGGTGGATTATTTTACTTTCTCTTTATGTTTTTAAAGTTTATTTATTTATTTTGAGAGAGAAAAAGAGCATGAGCATGGGTGGGGCAGAGAGAAAGTGAGAGAGAGAATCCAAAGCAGCCTCTGCACTGTCAGCACAGAGCCCAACACAAGCTCAAAGTCACAAACAATAATATCATGATCTGAGCAGAAATCAAGAGTTGTATGCTTAACCGACTGAGCCATCCAGGTGCCCCTTGTTTCCTTCCTTATAATTTTATACCTTTTTAAAAACTAGGGGCACCTGGGTGACTCAGTCGGCTAAGCGTCTGACTTCGGCTCAGGGCATGATCTCACAGTTCGTGGGTTTGAGCCCTGCATCGGGCTCTGTGCTGACAGGTAGCCCAGAGCCTGGAGCCTGTTTCAGATTCTGTATCTCCCTCTCTCTCTGACCCTCCCCTGCTTATGCTATCTCTCTCTCAGAAATAAATAAAACAAAACAAAACAAAAACCTATTTAGACAAAATCCTAATTAAAAAGTAGACTATAAGGAAATTCAAAAGAATAAACAAATACCCAATAGAGACGTGAAAAAATGCTCTATTTTCCTAATTATTAAAAATATACAATTTTGGGGGGGTGCCTGGGTGGCTCAGTCAGTTAAGCATCTGACTTCAGCTCAGGTCATGATCTCACAGTCCGTGGATTTGAGCTCCGCACTGGGCTCTGTGCTGACAGCTAGCTCAGAGCCTGGAATCTGCTTCGGATTCTGTGTCTCCCTCTCTCCGATCCTCCCCTGCCTACGCTGTCTCCATCTCTCTCTCAGAAATAAATAAAAACATTAAAAAAAATTTTATAAAAAATATATACAACTTTTTGATTATGAAATTTGGAAAAATAAAAAATGTGGTCATAGTCTTCACAAGGAACAAGGCAACTAATACACCACTGATAAGAATATAAATGAGAACTGTGAAGCTTCTAATGGAGTATACTATATTAAAATTCTAAATTAATCTTGTAGGGACTAGAGAATCAAAGATTTTTGAAGTAAGCAAGTACAACAATCTAAAATCTGAATTCTTAAAAGAAAGTTGAAAGAGGGACTCCTGGATGGCTCAGTCCATTAAGCATCCGACTTCGGCTCAGGTCATGGTCTCACAGTTTGTGGGTTCAAGTCCCATACTGGGCTCTGTGCTGACAGCTCAGAGTCTGAAGCCTGCTTCGGATTCTGTGTTTCCCTTTGTCTCTGCTCCTCCCCTGCTCATGCTCTGTCCCTCACTCAAAAATAAACAAACATTCCCCAATGACCCAGCAATAGCACTGCTAAAAATTTACCCAAGGGATACAGGAGTGCTGATGCATAGGAGCACATGTACCCCAATATTCATAGCAGCACTCTCAACAATAGCCAAAACATGGAAAGAACCTAAGTGTCCATCAACGGATGAATGGATCAAGAAGATGTGGTTTATCTATATGATGGAATACTACATGGCAATGAGAAAGAATGAAATCTGGCCATGTGTAGCAACATGGATGGACCTTGAGGGTGTTATGCTGAGCAAAATAAGTCAGGCAGAGAAGGACAAATACTGTATGTTTGCACATATAGGAGGATTAGGAGGAACTTAACAGAGGACCAAGGGGGAGAAGAAGGGGGGAAATAGTGAGGGAGAGGGAGAGAGGCAAACCATGAGAGACTCTTGAATGCTAAGAACAAACAGGACTGATGGGTGTGGGGGGGGAGGGGGGAGATGGGCATGGAGGAGGGCACTTGTGGGGATGAGCACTGGGTGTTATATGGAAATCAACTTGACAATAAACTATTTGTATAAAAAATAAATAAAAAATAAAAATAAAAAATAGAAAATAAACATTAAAAAAAAGTTGGAATAAACTTAGTGAAATGTAGGGAAAACTAAAGGTAGACCATCAAGCTCAGCAACTGTTATAAGAACTCAAGTAACAAATAATCAAGGAAAGAAATGGAAATGAAGGAGAAAAATTAGATCTGAGTGCCATTTAAGAGGTAAAAACTAAAGGATGCAGTAAATGATTAGGTATAAAGTATGAGAAAGAGAAATGCGTTAAAGACAATTCTGAGCTTTAAAACAAGGCAAATGAGTGTTTCTACCATCAAATGAGTTAGAAGGTAAAAGAGAAGTAAACTTGGAAGAAAAAACAATGACTTAGTTCACTGCCTTCCTCTATGTGACCTAAAGACCAAAGGAAATCTCTAATAAACAAATGGAAAGAAGGAACAAAGAAAAGATGTTAAGATCTAAAGAAGCACTGTCCAAAAGTTTTCCACAGTGAGGGGCACTAGATGACTCAGTTAAGCGTCTTACTCTTGATTTCGGCTCAGGTCATTATCTCAGTTTGTGAGTTCGAGCCTCATGAGGGGCTCTACGCTGACAGTACATAGCCTGCTTGGGATTCTCTCTCTCCACCTCTTTCCTGCTTGCGTGCGCAATCTGTCTCTCTCTCTTTCCCTCTAAATAAATAAATAAATAAATAAATAAACAAATTTAAGTTTTCCACAATGAGGGAAATGTTCTAGAACTATGCCATCTAATACGGCAGACACTAGACCCATGTGGCTTTGATCACTTGAAATATGCCAGTATAACAGAGAAAAGAATTTAATTTTAATTAATTTTAATTTAAATAGCTACAAGTGGTTCACTGCTACCACACTGGACAGAGTATATCTAGAGACTTAACAGTATTTACGTTCTTTTCCTCTCACTTTCCAAACACATAAAAATTAACATTTACATTTGACTTAGATTATTCTAATAGTTTAAAAATACCGTCTTGGGTCGCTATATTACAAAAATGAGTAAAATGAGTAACTATGATCCAGTCTCAGCCAAATAGTATTACTTTCTTTTAAGTAATTCTTAATTCCATTTACAAAACAAAATGAAGCGGAGTAAAAAACTGCACAATCCAGGAAGGTGGCATTAAGGTACAGTCACAAAACAAGGCATGGAGAAGGCATAGTTTGAGAGCTAAATCCCCACTCTTCAGAATACTGACCTCTCCTTCACTATCAGATATCACAATGAAAGCATCTTCAAGCCTACGTTTCCTCTTCAGATTGACCAAACTGGAAGTTTCTGCATCTTTCTTCTCCAAGTTCTGAGCTTCAGTGGCTTCTTTAACTTTTTTCTTTCTCCGTGGCATCCTTTTGTCTGAAACACAGGGTAAGTAATTTACTCAAAGTGTAATTTTTCCAGATGCTATCTATAATTTAGTCAAACAAAAGGTTTCCATCTAAACATTTTCACTAGGCATTAAAATTTCAATTTTTCTATTTAAAAAACTATAGATATCTATCTAAATAAATAGATATCTCTGTAGGGACATTTCAATAAGAATAATATAATTTATCCTAGTTCTTCAAAACGTTAACTTAAATAACTGCTTCCCTTGACTACATACTATAATTTAAAAGAATTTTTTTTCAACAGCAATGCCTCCACTTGATAAAGAACATGTAAAAAAAAAAAATAGTTAATATGCTTAAACATAAAAGACTGAATGCTTTCTCCTCAAGACAGGAACAAGACAAGAACGTCTGCTTTCATCATTTCTAATGAACAATATCCTGGAAGTTCTAAGCAGGTAAACTACACAAAGAAATAAAAGATATCCAAACTGGGATGCCTGGGTGTCTCAGTTAGGTAAATGTCCAACTCTTGGTTTCAGCTCTAGTCATGATCTCATGATTCATGAGTTTGAGCCCCATGTCAGGCTCTGTGCTGTCAGCACGGAGCCTACTTGGGATTGTCTCTCTCTCTCTCTCTCTGCCACTCCCCTTCTTGCCCTCTCTCAAAAATAAATAAATAATTAAAAAAAAAAAAAAAGACATCGAGGGGCTCCTAGGTGATTCAGTCAGTTAAGTGTCCAACTTTGGCAAAGGTCATGATCTCACGGTTCGTGGGTTCGAGCCCCGCATCGGGCTCTGTGCTGACAGCCAGCTCAGAGCCTAGAGCCTGTTTCAGATTCTGTGTCTCCCTCTCTCTCTGACCCTCCCCTGCTCATGCTCTTTCTCTCTCAGAAATAAATAAAACATTTAAAAAAATGAATTAATAAAAAGAAGCAAACATAAAAAAATAAAAATAAAAATAAAAAAAGATATCCAAATTGGAAAGGGAGAAGTAAAACTATCACTATCTGCAAAAGACATAGTCTTGTATTAAAACAAACAAAAAAATTAGGAACTCCACTGAAAAACTATTACTACTAATACAGAAGTTCAGAAAAGGGGCGCCTGGGTGGCTGAGTCAGTTAAGCGTCCGACTTTCGCTTAGGTCATGATCTCCCGGTTCGTGGGTTCGAGCCCCGCGTCGGGCTCTGTGCTGACTGCCAGCTCAGAGCCTGGAGCCTGTTTCAGTCTGTGACTCCCTCTCTCTCTGACCCTCCCCTGCTCACGCTATCTCTCTCTCTCTCCTAGAAATAAATAAAACATTTAAAAAAAAAAAAAAAAGAAGTTCAGAAAAGACTGCAGCATATAGTCAGTATACAAAAATCAACTGTACTGTTATCCACTAGCAATAAATATCCAAAAATGAAATTTTAAAAATTCCATTTATAACAGCATCAAAAATAAAATTTTTAGGAATAAATTAAACAAAATAAGACTTGCAAATGAAAACTTAAAAATATTTTGAAAGGAGGGTCCAGTTCAAAATGACATAGTAAAGATCTTGATTTAACCTCCTCCTATGGACACACTAAATCTACAAACGTATATGGAACAAATTGTTTTGAAATAAACTGAAAACCTGGCAGAGCAACTCACTCACATAAGATAAATGAGAAGGAAACCATCAAAGCAAGGTTAAGAGAAATCTCATCATAATCCTCACCCCACCCCCACAATAACCCCCAATGGGACTCAACCCGGGTGATTCTCCCTGAGGAGAGATCAATTTGAACTCCACAACTGGCACCACAATTTTTAAGACCTGTTCCTGAGAGATAAGCCCCCCTAAACGTCTAGCTTTGAAAGCCAACAGAGCTTGCATCCATAAGACTTCTAAAACCAAAAGGAATTGAAAAGCAGTTCTCAAAAAGCTGACACACACATGCCAACTCACCCAGCATCCCAGGCCTCAGCACAAAGGCAGCCAATTGAAAAGCACCCAGACTTTCTGTGAAAAAGACTTATTTGCTTATCTTAAAGCATCAGCGGAAGGGGAAAGCATCTAATTTAACATACATGTAGGTGCCTACTCTAGTATTCAAAGGCAGAAGCCAGTAGGCACCATCTTTGCATCTCCCTCTGCCTCACTCAAGCTTACCAGTATCTCCCAGAAAGGAGTTTGTACCCTTGTCTGACACTCCAATTTTTACAGCTGCTTCCCAGGGGATTCTTCCAGATCACCTGCCTCAGGGAGCCACTGGGACTTACTTACACTGACAGCCCTACAGGACTTTATATATTTGCATACTTTAAATGCTGCAGCCTGAGGGTCTGGCTTCCAATCAGCTTCAATCTAGGTGGTGACTGAGTTCTTCCCCTTTGGGACACTGGCAGTTCTTGACATACCTTCAAGTGCCCGAGCCACTAAAAATATACTAGGCTGCTTGGATAATCACAAAGGTTTGAGAGACAAGTAAAAGCTCTGGCAAGGTTGAAAGATAAGGTTTATATCCTATATAAGGCCATTCTTTCCAAACTTGCTATTTTATCTAATGTACATAATCAACACAGAGTTAAAAAAAAAAGGGGGGGGGGAGCAGAGGAAGATGTTCCAAACAAAAAGAATTAGATAAAGTTCAGAAAAACACCTTAAAGAAAGAGAGATCAGTGACTTACCTAACAAAGGAGTTCAAAATAACAGTCCTAAAATTGCTCACTACACTCAGGAGAATGAATAAATATAATGAGAATTTTAATTAAAAGTTAAGAAAATAATTCCAGGGGCGCCTGGGTGGCTTAGTCGGTTAAGCGTCCGACTTTCGCTTAGGTCATGTTCTCGCGGTTGTGGGTTCGAGCCCCGTGTCGGGCTCTGTGCTGACTGTCAGCTCAGAGCCTGGAGCCTGTTTCAGTTTGTGACTCCCTCTCTCTCTGACCCTCCCCTGCTCACGCTGTCTCTCTCTCTCTCTCCTAGAAATAAATAAAACATTAAAAAAAAGAAAGAAAAAAAGAAAATAATTCCATTTACAATAGCATCATAAGAGCTAAAATACTTAGGCATAACTTTACCTAACAGAAGACATGCAAAACTTATACTCTGAAAGCTAAAAAACACTTTTTAAAGAAACAGAGAAGATCTAAATAAATGAAAAATATCCCATGTTCAAAGATCAAAAGACTTAAGATAGTAATACTTCTTAAACTGACTTATCAATTCAATACAATGCCTAATAAAATCCTGGTTGGGGTGTGTGTGTGTGTGTGTGTGTGTGTGTGTGTGTGTGGGTGTGGGTGGGTGTGGGTGTGGTGTGTGTGTGTGTGTGTGTGTGTGTGTGTGAATCAACAAGCTGATCCTAAAATTCACATGGCAATTCAGGGTCCCAAAAATATTACTAATATTTTTAATTTTTTTTATTTCTAGAGGAGGAGATGCGGGGGGGGGAGGGGAGAATCTGAAGCCGACTCCACACCCAGCACAAAACCCAATGTGGGGCTCTATCCCACAACCCTGAGATCATGACCTTAGCCGAAATGGAGTCAGATGCTTAACCAAATGAGCCACTAAGGTGCCCTGATGGTCCAAAAATACTTTTAATTAATTAATCTTCATAAAAACCTAAGAAGTATATACAATTATTACAAGGAAGGACTTGTCCAAAGTTCAGAAAGTAACTTGTCCAAAGTCACAAAGGCACTTACAATTCTGTCACCTGACTCCAATACTCTATGACTTAATCTTTACACCTCTTCTACCTACAACTGCTACCTGATATATGGCATGCACACATAAGTATGTACTGAATGAACAGCTTAATGTATATATTTATATTATTAAATACTACAAAAAGGCACAAAAGGATAAAATTATTACAGGTTGAATAGTATAGGTAAGACTAGGATGTCGGAATTAGTTTGGGGGAATTCTCAAGTAATCACGGTGCCCCAGAAAAACACCTTATATGGAAAAGCTTTCATCTTATTAAATGTTCTCTGTACCCTAGGATTATTTAAACCAAAATGCTCACATCTGATGCCAAGAGTATCTATCCCACCAAATATACGTATTTCTTAAAGATAAGTAAATAAATAAAAACCCTTTTCTGTAGCACAGAACCAGCTGCAGTCTCAAAGTGGGTTTCCAAAGAATTAAGCAGATAAGGGATAGAGAAGAAGCATTAAGTAGACGCACCTCACAGATACAGACTCCAAAATTCAGTGCTTCATGAGATTTAGCCACTTTGCTCCACAGTAATTCTAAGAGTAGAAACAAGGCACTGCTTGGCCAATTTAATTTTTTTAAATATTTGTTTATTTCTGAGAGACAGAGACAGAGAGAGCATGAGCAGGGTAGGGGCAGAGAGAGAGAGGAAGACAAAGAATCTGAAGCAGGTTCCAGGCTCTGAGCTGTCAGCACAGAGCCCAATGCGGGGGGCTCAAACTAGTGAACCTTGAGATCATGACCTGAGCCAAAGATGGACTGCTTGGCCCCACTGCTTGGCCAATTCAAACACACCGGCCAGGGACACCTGAGTGGCTCAATCAGTTAAGCATCCAACTTTGGCTCAGGTCATGATCTCACAGTTGGTGGGTTGAAGCCCCCTGTCAGGCTCTATGCTGAGAGCTCAAAGCCTGGAGCCTGCTTCGGATTCTGTGTCTCCCTCTCTCCCAGGCCCGTTCCCTGTTCATGCCATCTCTATCTTTCTCAAAAATAAATATTTTTAAAAACTTTAAACACTCAAGCTAGCATATAGCTCAGCTACTATTAAGTTGCTACCCTTCAAAATGAAGAACTTCACAAATAAAGCCTTATTTTCAATTACTTGAACTGAGGCTATAGAATGAATTACCACTAACTGTGAAGGAAGAATAGAGTCTAGAGGCCAAAAGCCTCATCTTAATTAAGACAGGAACAAAATGTCTCTAAAAACTGTACAAGCAGTTGGGGCGCCTGGGTGGCTTAGTCGGTTAAGCGTCCGACTTTCGCTTAGGTCATGTTCTTGCGGTTCGCGGGTTCGAGCCCCGCGTCGGGCTCTGTGCTGACTGCCAGCTCAGAGCCTGGAGCCTGTTTCAGTCTGTGACTCCCTCTCTCTCTGACCCTCCCCTGTTCACGCTGTCTCTCTCTCTCTCCTAAGAAATAAATAAAACATTAAAAAATAAAATAAAATAAAATAAAAACTGTACAAGCAGTAAAGGTAATCCAATAATGAAACTTGTTTTTGGTTTTGTTTTTTTAATTTCACATGTAGCTTTTTTTGGTAGTGTCCTTGAAAATTTACAATTTGGGATACTATTTGTCATTTTCTTTAAACACATCTATCATCTTTACCTATCTGAAGAACAATCACTAAAAAAACAATTTTAAATCTTGACATTCTACCTACCAAACCTGCTTTGAAAGCTCAGGGACACAGGGGCGCCTGGGTGGCTCAGTCAGTTAAGCGTCTGACTTCGACTCAGGCCATGATCTCACAGTTCATGGGTTCAAGCCCTGCGTCGGGCTCTGTGCTGACAGCTAGCTCAGAGCCTGGAGCCTGCTTTAGATCCTGTGTCTCCCTCTCTCTCTGACCCTTCCCTACTCATGCTCTCTCTCGCTTGCTCGCTCTCAGAAATAAATAAAAAACATTAAAGAAGAAGAAGAAGAAAGCTCAGGGACACAGGGATCTGAACAATTCTTTATGAATGACTTAAATTATTAAGTTACTATTCAAGAAATGTGGTACCAGGGGCGCCTGGGTGGCTTAGTCGGTTAAGCGTCCGACTTTCGCTTAGGTCATGATCTCGCGGTTCGTGGGTTCAAGCCCCGCGTCGGGCTCTGTGCTGACTGCCAGCTCAGAGCCTGGAGCCTGTTTCAGTCTGTGACTCCCTCTCCCTCTGACCCTCCCCTGCTCACGCTCTCTCTCTCTCCTAGAAATAAATAAAACGCTAAAAAATTAAAAAAAAAAAAAAAGAAATGTGGTACCAACCTCTTTATCACTTAATTTCAAAAGCTTGAAAAAAGTTTGTTTTAAAAAAAGGTAAATGGGGGCCACTAGTTGACTCTAACCAGCCTCCAATTTCGGCTCAGATGATGATCTCACAACTTGTGAGGCAAGGCAGAGCCCTGTTCCATCTTCTGTGTCCCTCACTTTCTGCCCCTCCCCCACAATCATTCTCATTCTCTCTCTCAAAAATAAAACATTTTTTTAAAAACGTAAATGTGTTCACACACACACACACTCACTCTATTCTTTATTTCCCACTTTATTTTCAGCCTCAGGATAAGTGTGTAACAACAAACTCCAAACAGACGTTAATAATTAAATTATGGTTTTTTATGGAGTCCTAGGACACTATTTTAGGTACCTCACACGCATTATATTATCTTCCCAATAACTGTGTGGTAGGAATCCCCTATTTTACACTATCATTAATCATTATTTTAACGATTTTTAATCACAATCCTACATGTTTGTAAACTTATTCAAAATCAAACAATTGGTAAGTTACTAGGTTTGTAAATTGATATGTTGTGAATTGCAGCTCGATATGCCGGATTCCAAAAACACATTCTTTGATTCAACTACAAAGCACTAGCTCCCAGAAAAAAATTCAGAAGCATAAAACTTTCACTTTTTCTTGGATACTACTTACATCTCAGTATGATATAGTGACCAAACACAAGAACATTAGTTAGGCTGCCTGGATTCAAAACAGCCCTACCGCTTATGAGACAGGTCTTCCATCCTCAGTTACCGCTTCTGTAAACTGATAACAGTACCTAAGTGTCGTTAAGATTATTTATAAATGCGTACGGCTAACAAGCTTGAAACAGTCATCATACGGAAAGACATCAGTTCTGTTTGAGGGGAAAGTGGCAAACTATAATAAAGATTTCCAAGGAACAGATTTTTTTCTGAGCGAAAAACTAATCAAAGAAAGGAACACTCCGCAACGACAGTAGCCTGGCCGGAAGCCGGGAGGGGGGCGTGAGGAGTACGCGGCGGACGGGTACTCCGGTAGAGGTCTGGGCTGTGGGACCCCATGGGGGGACACGGCGAGGACGGAGCCGCCTTCCGGGGTTTTCAACGTGAGGAAGACGCTTTCGAGGGACAGGCGGGGACAAGAGCCCACCGTCAGAGGAGAAATAACGAAGGAGCGCCCAGGAAGGCCGCACCCCCGGTGCGGGTTGGGGGAAATGGGGGGTAGAGGGGTAGGGGGGCGCGGGGGGCGGGCAGGCCCGGCACCTGAGGAAGGAAGCCCACCACCGTGTCAGGAGGCGCCCAGCTCAGTCCCTAGGGCTCACCCTGGTGTACCAAAGGGCCCCACTCTCGCGTCGAGAGGCGCCCTCCCGCATCCTGTGTGCCCAACCCGCGTCCAGAGACGCCCACCCAGCAGCCTGAGGGACCACCCCGGCGTCTGGAGAGATCAGCCTCCTCGCGGAGAAAGCCCTCCCTACCCAGCGTCAGCGGCGCCCCTTCGGGTCAGGAGCGGGCCGCGGCCTCCGCGAGAGAAAGGAGGCGGGAAGAGGGCGGGCTGTAGGTGTGCGGAGGCGACCGGTACTCACCGCCCGGCCGGCGGCCCTCAGCCGAGCCCCTCCTCCGGAGCGCGGCTGGTCGCTAGCGTCCGCGGCACGTCAGGAGCGCGGGGCGGGCGCGCGCGCTAAACTGAGGCACCGCGGGGAGGAGTCGCGCTCTCGGGCGGGAGTGGGCGCAGGCGCCTGCGTTTGGGGACGGAACCAATCCGCACCGCGGGGGGAAGCCGCTGCCAGGTCATACCACTGTACAAGGGCTGGGATCTGCCGCCAACCGGAGTCGGATTTGATCTCGGAACGCAAATCTGGCCCTCCGGGCGCCTTGCAGTGTGCTCTTTCGTTGTATCATTTGTTAGCACGTTGAGGGTAACAGGCCCTCAAAACACGACAGTGAACTCCGTCAAAGTCTCTGCCACATCAAGCCTCCTCCTACCCTCTCTTTGCATGTAGAATTATATTGAAATTACCTGTTCATATGACCGCTTGAAAACTATCTCTTGATGGTAAATGTTACTATCTGATCATTTCGGGGAAAGAGGGAAACTGAGAAACAAACTCAGGTCGCAGTTTAAAATTACAACAGCCACTTTGGTGAAATTTAAAATGTGCGTTTAAGGACCCAGCAACCTCATGTCTAGAAAAATACAGAAAGAAACTCCTACAGGTGTGCACAAGAAGACAAATCCATGTTTGAGTCTGCTTCCTTGTGAAAAGTGTAAACATAAATGTGCAATAAAACATAGAGGAATAAAATAAGATATATTCCTACAATAAAATCTTAACAAATAAAACTAATAAGTCCTATATTACCAACATTTAATAGCTCATAAGAGTTATAAATAGCAACATATCAACAAATATGTACACTGAAATGGATTATGTAAATTTAAAAATACAGTAAAACCTTGGACTGCGAGTAACTTGCTCTGTGAGTGTTCTGCTAGACAAGCAAACATTTCTAATAAATTTAGCAATGTCTTGCAATACAAGTTGTACATGATACTGAAGGTCACATGATCACAACTGAGCCAATGGTTCTTCTCTCTCTTTTTCTCTCTTCGCAATTGTGAGTGCATGCTTGGCTGCTCTCTGCCCCTCCCCAGCTCGTGCATTCTCTCTCTCAACAAGGATGGGGGGAGTCTCTAAATAGAATACAAACAGAAACAAATAACCCAAACTGTATTGCAAGTGAATAACATAACCACACTGAAGGGAGGGAAAAAAACAAAATTCATACTGAAAAAGAGAAGAAACCAAATGCATACAAATGCATACACACACACCTACATACATGTATGTTTGTGTGTATATATGTATCATAAGTCTATGTAGTGTATCTACTAAGAGAGTCCAGAAGCATTGACACTCCACTAGGAATGAGAACACCTAGACCCCCAGATCTTGGTTTTTAAAATCATTCTCTAGGGGTGCTTGGGTGGCTCAGTCAGTTGAGCATTCAACTTCAGCTCAGGTCATGATCTCACAGTTCATGGGTTCTAGCCCCATGTCAAGTCAGGTGTGCAGACAGCTTGGAGCCTGGAGCCTTCTTCAGATTCTGTGTCTCCCTTTCTCTGTGCCCCTCCCCGACTGACTCTCTCTCTCTCTCTCTCTCTCTCTCTCTCTCAAAGGTAAATTTTAAAAAAACATTAAAAATTTTTTTTTTAATTTTAAAACCATTCTCTACTATACAGAACTAGGACTCAGAGAAGTGGCTGACTCCACGGAAAGTACAAGATGAGCCCAGATCATCTGTTTGTGCAAGAAAGTAAAGCAGTGCTCATAGAAAGAGGAGAACATGTCAAACATAGGAGCCAACTTGAAAGGGCTTCTAGGGTCAAATACAGGACAATATAAAAATAAATAATGATAGTCGTAGACTGTAAGTCACTGAATAAAATAATTCTTGAGTCTATATTGATATAAATACATAAATAAACAAGGGAGAATGGACAATTCTTCTATTAGGTGGAAGGTCAATTAATAAATGTAGAATAAATGATGAAATTATAAAACCACCATTTGGCAACCAACAGAGTAAAATTAAGGCAATGTCATCAATGAATGCTAAAACTAGTGGATGCAAAGTTGAAAACTAACAAGATATTTATATAATCTTGAAGAATTTTTTTCACAAAATAAGTATTAATTACAAAGGGGAAAATAATAACTTTCAATAGAGAAAACTAGTGGGCACCACTTAATCAAATGGTCAGAGTTATCATCAGTAGTGATGAGACACATCAGTTATGCACAAGCTGACATGATGCCTGTGGTATTGCTGCCAAAATGCATAAACTTTAATCTAACCATAGAGAAACAAAAACAAACCCAAACTGAGGGATATTCTATAAAATACCTACTTTTTGCTCTTTAAATGTATCAGTGGCATGAAAGACAAAAACCCAGGAATTCATCCAGATTAAAGGAAACTAAAGAGACATGACAACTGAATGGAACATATGATCTAGAATTTTCTTTTGCTTTTATAAAGGAAATGATTAGGATACTTGAATAAAGTCTGTAGATTAAATAACACTATTGTGTCAATGTGATTTTTTACTTTGATAGCTATACTGTGATTATATATGAAAATGTCCTTGCTTTTGAGAAATGTACACTGAAGTATTTAAAGTGGCAAAGTGGCAGCATGTCTACCATTTGATCTCAAGTGGTTCAAAAAATATTAACTATAAAGCAAGAGTAGAGAGAATGATAGAACTAGAGTAGTAAATGTTAACATTTAGGAAATCCATATGAAGGCTATATGGGAATTCTTTGTACAGTTCTGTCAACTTTTCTGTGTCTGAAATTATGCCAAAATAAAAAGTTTAAAAGAACAGGAATAAGTTACATGATGACTCTGATACAAAGACTTCAATTACCACCTATAATACCCAACTGCAAAATTTTGTCTTTTTTTTTTTTTTTTAATGCTTTATTTCTAGGAGAGAGAGAGAGAGAGAGAGACAGCGTGAGCAGGGGAGGGTCAGAGAGAGGGAGTCACAGACTGAAACAGGCTCCAAGCTCTGAGCTGGCAGTCAGCACAAAGCCCGACGCGGGGCTAGAACCCACAAACCGAGAGAACATGACCTAAGCGAAAGTCGGACGCTTAACCGACTAAGCCACCCAGGCGCCCCAACAAAATTTTGTCTTTATCTAGACTGTCTCATTGTTCAAATTAATTGATTTTATAAATAAGCATTATAATATTTAACTTGTAAAATAACTGTATATCAATAAGTTACCACTTCTAACCCCTTTTAAACATTAGAAATCTATATAGAATCATGTTTAGAAAAAAGAATTCTTCTACTAAGCAAAGTAAACACTGATTTAGTTCAATTTCCAATTCAGTTTGAGAAATTGAATCACAGTGAGAAAAGGTGGCTACTAATTTGCCCAAGTCCCACAGTTATAAAAAAGTTGACACTGTCAAGCACACAGAGTTAACCCACAAGAAAATTTTAACAATAAATAAGCACTAAAACAAATGGAAAGCATCACAAACAATTAAATACAAAATAAAAGTCCCACAGCACATTTGTTAAATTAACAAGAACAAACAAAACAGACAAAACTCAATGGCAACAGGACTGTGAGAAAATAATGTATTTCTTCATTGTGAATGCACTATAAACAAGTGTAATCTTTCCAAAGAGAAATTTGGCAATACCTGTCAAGAATCATAAAAATGATCAGACTCTCAACCTGAGTAATACCACACTGGGGAATACATCTCAAGGAGATGATTCAAAAGAGAGAAGAACAGGCTTGAACAAAGATGATTATAGCCAAACAGTATGTTATATTTCCCAAAAACTAGAAACAATCCAAATGCTCACCCATGGGAGAGAGGCTAACTTGAAACGGGCCATGGTAGAGCAATACAATAACAGTTACTACATTACCACATATCAACAAGAGGACCTTGTAGGAAATGTGGCAAAAACCCTATCAAGTAAGGATAAGCTAAAGATGGTGGAATTCTGAGAGACCCAAACACAGTGCTGACAGCTAACAGACTATATGTATGTAGGTATGAAAGAAACAAAAAATTTATAATCAGTAGATAATCTAGAGTAAGAGAAATGGGAGGGGTAACCATGGTCAGAAGCCAGTGATTGCAACTCCTCAATCCTGACACATAATGTGACAGGTTCTCTCTCTTTTTTTAAAATAACTTCATTGAGGGGTGCCTAAGTAGCTCAGTCAGTAGAGCACTGGGCCCTTGATCTCAGGGTGGTGAGTTTAATTAAGCCCTACATTGGGTATGAAGCCTACTTAAGGGAGGCCTGAGTGGCTTAGTTGGTTAAGTGACCAACTCTTGGTTTCAGCTCAGGTCATGAGCTCATGGTTCATGAGTTCGAGCCTTGTGTTGGGCTCTGCGCTGGCAGCATGGAGTCTGCCTGTTCATGTTCTCTCTCTTTCAAAATAAACTATAAAAAAAAAAAAGTTTCAAGTCTCTGAAAATAGTCTTAAAGACAAAGAATAAATGAAGAAAACAAACAATCTATTAAAAATTCAGTGAGACAAGTGAGACTGCAATATCTGAACCAAGACTGCTCTGCTCCCTCCCCTCCACCTCCCAACTCAGTAAGGTAGAGTTTGCTCTCCAGACTGCTGCAGCCAAGAACACAAGGCACCTTTCCCTCAGCAAATGGTCAAAGGCTTCCTTCCAAGGAGGAGCAAAACAGTTGCTCATTCTATCAGTTTCTCATTGTATCTCCAGCAACCTGTTGCTGAGGCTGTCCCTGGAAAACACAGTTGGGAAGTTGCTGAGGCTGTTGGTGGAAAACACAGTTGGGAAGCTGAGAATCCCCTCACCCAGCAGAGGCTAAGTTGGATAAAGCATGCTGTGAATACTAGAGCCCTGATTACCCTTGCCTGAACTCAAGAAACACAGTAGTTCTGAAGCCATCACCTCAGCCTCTCTGACCAATTTAGAAGCCTTTGAAGTTTTAGCAACTATCTTTATCCCATGTGATTAACTATACGTTTGTATATCTATAGATCACACATTGTTTCCAAGAAAGACTTGGAACCAAACCTACTTGCACAACTTCTGAGCACCCTGATAATTTCTATAGCTGGCACCATTGAGTCTGCATGCAATCAAGAAGTGTTACAGACCGCTGCGCTCCCCTTTTACTGATTA